AGGAAAAGGAACAAAAAGTTTTTTTCATTTTTCTAATTTAATATGTGGAATAGAAAGCAATTCTGAAATTTGAAACATAAAGGCTGCTTTTCAAATGATTTGTGCATAGGTTTTGCTAGTAATTTTATTCCCCTTTCTCTTTTCCACCTTCCTTGCAGGAATAAGTGTAAGGTAGGTGTGTATGCCTGTAGCAGGAATAATCTCCTTGGCTCCCTTAGGACACTTGACCTTCTCTGCTACACATATCAGACACAGGATGAACTCAAGCTTGTCTCTGTTTAAACAGGCAAGATAAGTTTTGTTCAGAAAAACAGCTGATAAAAATGGATGCATTTATGGCCATTGCTTTCATTGCTCTGCTTGCTTCTAAGTTGTTAAGGAAGCTGTGTCGCAGAGCAGCACTAGAAAAATATGTCCTAGTGAAGGGATTCCTTTTTGAGTCAGTCATGCTCTCATTTGAAGTTAAAGAGCTGCAGGTTTCAATCAGTATTTTGGTATATCCTGAAGAGCCCTCAAGTTAGTTCAGAGATTGCTGGCAAAATGAGACTATGAGATAGGAAGTGTTACACAGATTATAGGATCTACTGCTGGCAGATATCTTCCTCAGTGAAACATGAAAATGTTTCTTCTCTGGCTTGCAGCAGGTAACTCTCTAAGAAACTAATTCTTAAAGCTTATATATTTAGAACCATAGAATCAAGATTTTTATCCTATACTGTTTACTTACCTTCCTTTCTAATGGTAGGTTGCAAGGTAGGATCACAAACATAAAAAAAGCCTCAGTGAAAACACTGGTGGCAAGTTAGAACTGAATTGACACAAGCATCTTCTCCTTTAACTGGCAGTTTTCACATTTGAGAAGTATGTGTTTCATATGTCCTGAAAAACTGTACTGAAGCATCTGTTGGTTTCATTAAAACACAGAGATTCATAGGTTATGAGGCCAGAAAGACCCATTATGATAATCTAGGCTGATTTGCTAAATAATTAATTCATCTCACCATGTATTTTAGAGAAAACAAGATACTATTTAATTTAGTTTGCCAGTAGCAGAGAAGACATGGTAACCTGTAGTAAGTTATTTCAATAGCAAATTACCATCATGTACATATAAGTAATAATATTTTAAAATTTGAATTTCTCTATCAGTTTTTAGCCCCTAGATCCTATTATTCTTTTGTCACATCGATTGAAGAACCTTCTACTTCCATATTTTATTTTCTGCACAGGTACTCATAGATCATAATCAGATCCTCCCTTAGTCTCTGCCTGTTAAACAGACTCAATTTTAATGTTCTTCACTATGGGGGACACATTCCAGTAATTTAATTATATTTCCTTTTCTCATTCTTGGATCTTTGGTTTAACTGTTGAATTGTGGATGTCAGATGCTGCCTTAGTGTTTCATTGCCCAAGCCAGAGGCATTCTCTATCCCTGCTCTAGGATTCATCTTGGTTTTACTCCCAATAATTATTTTTATCTTTTTGTTTATAGTGTTGACTCTTCTGGTATACCTGATAATACAAGATCTTGATGTCCAAATATGGCTGTCAGGGATACCCCAAGTCAGTAATATGAACACTTGTACTTTTTCCAGAAACACTTTAAATTTCTCAAGCTAGGTGGTTTGTTTGGATTTTTTTTTATATATATATATTTAAAGAAAATAATGCAGAACAACAAACACTTGAAGAACAGAGGTTCAGATTGTGATGAATCTTCTTCTTTGAAAAGACTGAATTCAGGGCTCTTGTATCAATTAAACACTTTCTCCTCTATTCCCCAGGTCTTCTTTTGTGTTTGATTTCTTAGTCCTTTCTTTCAAACTTGCTCTCAGATCCACCATTGTTAGTGACTTTCTGGGTTACAACTATCTGAATTTAATTTTCTCTAGATCCTTTGTTAGTTTTCTGTCTCAAGGATTCTCCAGCTGTGGAATTCGGATGACTAATGAACTACAAGTCTGTTTGAAGCACACCCCAAAGAAACCCTGAGGCAGACCCTCTGCATTTCCCCAGAAGAAATGGGAATTGTCACTCATGTATGAAATACGTAGAAGAGGGAGATGTAACCTGTACGTGGTTTAGCAAAGAGCTAGAAGCTTCTTATGTGTGTGAGAGCCTATTCCCTCTACCAGCAACTTGCAGAGGTTGCTGAAAAGAGATTGAAAAGTTATAGCTAGACCCAACCCTGCACCAGCTATCAATCATGTGTATGGTACTGAACTACCTGTCAGCTCCTCTCATAGATGGAAAGGCTGGGTCAAGATATGGTTTAGAGGAGTGTTGGTTTGCACAACTGTTACTAGTATCCTATTAGAGTGGATCTCTTATGTTAGGCTCACTGAAATCAGTCTGTGCAGGCCTGGCATTCTCTTGCTCACCAAAGCAACTCCACACTGGGGTGAAACCAGAAAGGCAGCATTGTGCCAAAGCCATAGCAGTCAGGGGGACTGTGCTGGCAGATATACTGCATCTAGGGGTACACATTTCCAATTACCCTCTTTCCCAGGCTGTTCCTACAGCGGGACATGGAGTAGACTGTGCATAACCTAATATACATGTAAATTCATTAAGAACATGAGAAAAGTCCTAGGGGGGGCTGAAGAACAGTCATTCAATTTACCCAGTATTCTGCCTCCAACACTGGCAGACTCAAGTGCTTTTTAGGGAGAGCTGTGGGCATGGCTACTATCAGTGGTGCATTGCCCTTGCCCTCCCACAGCACCTCCTGCTGTTGGATTAGGATTATTAGAAAGTCCTTTCCTTCCTTTTCCCTTTAATATCAGTTTGTGGACTTTGTGTCTATTTATCTTTCTGGTTCTTTTTGAGTCTGCTGATGTTTTCTGCTTCCCTGACCTCCTTTGGCAGCAAATTCCAGAAGTTCACTATGCTCTACCTGAATTAAGTACTTCTAAAATCCATTTTAAACTGGTACCCAACAAGTTTCAGTGAGGGCCTCTAGTCCTATCATTGCTGGATTTGGCAAAGACTTGTTCTATATTCACCTTCTCCATCTTCTGTAGACTTCAATCATATATTTTCTAAGTCCTTTCCAAATATAAGAGCCCTGGCCTTTTCAGGTTATCCTCATAAAGTATCCTATTGCATAATCTTCATTGTTCTATTTATTTTTCTCTGCACCTTCAGCTCCTCTCTTTCCTTGAGAGGCAGAGGTAGGACTGCATGCAGTGCTCAGAGCTAGTGTTTGGCTGAGGTGTACCTCGTCTTGTCTGGCAAGGAGGCTGTAATGCACAGCCTTGCTGAGGCACTGGAAGGAGGTGTATGGTCTGTCTAGTGAGAGCATTTGACATAGTTAATCTACAGAATGGAACTACAAATTGAAAATGTATTTTATTCCTGTTGCAGATTATTAATAGACTTGATGTTTCTGAAGTCTGTGCTAGGGCAGAGTGCTTTATTGGGAATTGGAGGAAAGCAAGCTAATGTGGGTCAATACTGTCCTCTGCTGGGAGGAACTACAACTTTGTGCCATGATTCCAACTGGGGATGAACAGCTGGCTGCTTTCTTAACTCTAGTGTAGGGTGTTTTGCCTTTGCAAAAGGAAAATTTGATGCTGTGCTGGCTGCACTGGGGAAATTCTCCTTTAATTCTTAGCAAAAGCTGGAAATCCTTCGCTTCCTGTAAATGTGTTGAATAGTGATTTATTTTTCATTCTGAGGTTACCTACTTTAGAAGCTTATCCCTCATTCTCTGCTATGCCTTTTAATATTTACTGCATGCTCATTTCTCTGACTTTCCCGTCCTATCTGTAGAATTAACAATGCACATCTCCTTTTCATTCTCTTTTTGTAGCAAGTTGCTGACAACTCATCCTGCTAGCATTCTGAAAGCATAATTCCAATGTATGTGTATGTATATGCTATAGGTAATAGGCACAAAGTATTTTAAAATAGTAACTCCTTAGAAGAAATCAGTGCAGTACTGTTGCAGAATGTGAATTCAGTCAAAATTGTGCTATTTGCAGAAATGCTTTTGCTTACTGTATGTGCCAGTTCTGGGTTTATGAAGCATGGAAGGTGGTTGACAGGACTTCACAAATATTTCAGTGTTGTGCCTTCTCCAGTCCCTGCCCCTGTGAGAATGGCTTGGGGCAGAGAGGAGTCCTCTTTGCAAGGAACTAATTCTGTACCTGTGAGAAAGAGAAGGGCAGGAGGACTGGACCCCTGAGCCAGGCATGCTCAGGAGTGCTTGCCTGTTTGGGACTCTTGGCTAATTTCCATCCATGTGGCAGAACAGAGTCCAGATTTCTGATCCTTAGCTCAGAGAGAGTCCAGGCACTGAATATGTACAGGCTTTTATTTGTTAGCACAGAGCGCATAGGTTTTTTTTTTAAATGAGGGTGAGCTATGCCGACATCTCCATAGCAAATGTTGCATTTGTGATGGCCTAAGATTTCTTCTTCAGAGAAAATTTAAGTCTTTCTATTTTGTTATAGCTCTAGGAGCCACAGGGCAATCATGAACAGTTCATAGCAACTTGCTTAAATTTTTTTGCATCTCTCTTCTAGTAGCTAAGTGGGCTTACAGGAATAATAGAGAAATGACAGTGGTGGTACAGAGTTCCCTGCTGTGGCTAGCAGAGATGGACATGGAGGTTATACTTTGTTATGTATTTTGTATGGGATTTATGCAAATATAACAGCATGATACCAGACACACACTGTATTTTATGTCCAAGAGCTTTTACAGCAGAGTGGACTAGTGGTAGAGTTAATTGTTCTCACTCTCCTTCAGTTGAATGTTCTCTTCTGCCTGATTATCTGATCTACAGACATCTGAAAGTATTCATTGCTATAATTTCTGTACACACTCCTGATTGTGTTCTCTCCCTCTGTCATCATGTCAGACTCTTGCATGGTCTCCTTTCTGCTCCTCACTGCCTTTTGGGAGAAGTTTGTCTCCCATGGCTGAAAGTAATTGGGATATTTGTACTGTATGCGGGATTGATGTATGATATTTTTCCTTGTGTCTGGCAGGTTGTTTATAAGAATAATGACATTCGTCTGGAGCTGTCTCGCTTGGCACGGATTGGTGATACTAAGATGAAGATCTACGGGGAAGTGAAATTTGTATGTGAGAATGTGGCTACACTGGATCCCATCAGCTTTGAGACACCTGAGGCATATATTAGTCTGCCTAAATGGAATACCAAAAGGATGGGCTCCATCTCATTTGATTTCCGAACCACTGAACCCAATGGACTGATCCTTTTCACCCATGGCAAGCCTCAGGAGAGGAAAGATGCCAGGAGCCAGAAAAACACAAAGGTAGACTTCTTTGCAGTGGAGCTTTTAGATGGGAACCTCTACTTGCTGCTGGACATGGGCTCTGGGACCATTAAGGTCAAGGCCACCCAGAAGAAAGCCAATGATGGAGAATGGTATCATGTGGATATTCAACGAGATGGAAGATCAGGTAGAGTGATGATTTATCTTAAGTAGATTCACTTTTCAGATCCAGACCTGGATTCTTAGTTCTCAGAACCTTCAAAACTTGTTATATATGAGTCACCTTCTTAGAAAAACTTAGTGTTACTCCAGTGATGTTTATCCAGCAAAGCAAAGATGTGACTGGCTAGGTTTTCATTAAATGTTTAGTGTGAGCTTTGGATAGCATATCAGAGAAGAGGTCTATTAATATTTTAGTTCCTATCTTCAGATATTCTGGACCTATCTTTGCAATTACATACATAATGATTACTTCTTTGTGAGCCATAGTAAGTTTTAAGATCCTTCAGAACAATTATTACTTAGTTCTTCGTTTGAGAAATTCTCACTGATCTACTTTGGGTTTTTGTTCAAAAAGAATCTTGGTAGAAGCCAAATGAAAACTTACTGCTGTGACCTAATATTACCATCTTCTCCTGTGACATCCTGGATCTTGTGTCTTTAAAAAGCAGGGGTTTGAGATCTTGTGATAAGGAAAATCAAAGTAATGGGTAGTACCAGTTTGAAAATTACAGTGATAAATCAACATTTTCATCCTATTCTGTATCCTTTATTATCTTGTAGTTTTCAGTTAGGTTTCTTTACTCTCTTTTGGATGCCAAATTCTAGTGTTAATAACTGACTCAGCATTCAGTGGGTGTTCCTCTTTTTCCTCACAGCTTCTGATTTCCAAAACATGTGTTTATTTCTAGTAATATACCTACTATGCTATTACCATGAAATTTTTTTGTTTGTTTGTTTCTGGTGCTGGATATCAAGCTAGCATACTCATGATCTACTCTGAAATTGTGTAAGGAAACAAACAAACAAAAAAATCAAATACTGTAACCTCATCTTGAGAATATGTGAACATTTATGCTTGAATTCTTCCTGAATCATTGGGATCTCAAAACCTGGTCATATATCCCTTCAAAGGGAATTCTGATTACATTTGCAAGTGGATTAGAGATTTTATGGTGATCTCCAGATGATAGCTTTAGGTCCCTAATTTTATGTTTCCAGTTGCTGAATGCCATCACTAGAGAGAACACATTGCTAGTATTTGCTTCCCTTGAATTTTCAAAAGAGATGACTTTTAGATATCATGCAAAGCCTGGCTGTTTGAACAGGTCTTTGCCTGAAGCTAGTTTTCTCTTTGATGATGTGAGGGCTTTCTTTGTAGTTGGCATGGCACTCTACTAGGACTTAATATGTGTGCTTATTTATTGCTGGCTCCTGAAGACATTGATTGAAACAATTTATAAAGGAAGACATAAATAAATAAATGGAGCTTTGATTTCTTTAGAATTGCTAAAATTTAATTAACTTCCAAGGATGAACTCAATTAGTTGCATTCAGTCCTGTCTTCAGTTGTTTCTTGCTCACTTGGGGACTGTTTGGTCCGTTGCAAGGCAGCTGCAGAAGGCGAAAACCAGAAATGACACTGAGCTCTTTGCTAAGAAAGTTTTTAAAAACCTGGAAAGAGGGACATGTGTTCATTTGGGCTAGGAAGGTGAGACAGACAGCAGGTGCATGAGACAATAGCATTGACTTGTTTGTTGCTTGGCAGGGACAGGGTTTGTGATGTTCTGGCTACTGAGCAGAGATAACAGATTTTGAATTAAAAGGACTTTTCTCAACAAGAATAAACACATTTGTACCTTCATTTTGGTTTAGTTGTTTGTTTTTAATTGCATTTTCTGCTGATGACAAGTACTGGAGTAATGGTGCTAGTGACTGATGTCAGGAAACTAGGATTCTGGCATTGATTTCTTCACACCATACCTTTAGCAAGCATCAACTGCTTTTATCTGTGGTACTTTCGGTAGATGTGAGAAAGGAGTTCAGGATCTCTCCTTGTTTGGTCCTTGGCTTTTCTCCCATGTGTAGACTAGAGAACAGTTGCATGTTGGAGACTGATTGATTGATTGATTGATTGATTAAATGTGGATGCCTGTCACCTAGAAACTGAACTGAAATAATGAACTTACTTAATGTAGGCTACAAAACAGCCATTTGGCTTTAATGAGCTGGTGACCCAGAAGTTCTGATTCTCATTACTAAAATAAACAGGCCTTCATTAGGTGTGTCATCTCTCCTCTTTGTCTTTCGATATCTGTAACAACCCAAAATTTCAGGCTCTGCTGAGCTTAGTAAAATAGCCTAAAGATCCAAATATTCAGTACTGCAACGTACTAAGGCAGGAGTGCACTTGCTGTGGAAGCATGGCAGTTGTGCTCAAATAACCTCTTGCACCTCTAGTCCCCTTAGGCATTGTGTATGCTTTGGTCTGTGTTGGCTGCCAGAGCAACAAAAGCTATTTTTTCTCTCTACTCTGACAGAAGCTGACAGTGTGGACATGGACACCTAGTGTCCTGTAACCTTTCTGTCCTTGGGGAAAGTTCTACAGAGTGTCCACAAAACCTGTCACAATGTCTGTCTGGAGAATACTGAGCATGTTACACAAGGCGATGTTTTCAGCTGGTCATTGGCTGCAAAACACACGTTGTCGCACTCACTCAGACATGAAAAGTCTTACTGGAAGGTTCGGTCCATAGTTGCATCAGTGAACTGCTTTGAATACCAGCTCTTCCCTCAGTAACTGGGGTCTTTTGGTCTGCTCTTTAGCCCTGCATGAAGTGCCTAAGTGATTGGAAAGGAGATGCTTAGATGCTTCTTCTTTCTCAAGATGGGATTTGAACTACCTAAACAGAGTTTCAAACTCTGCTTGGGATTTGGAGAATGGGAAAAAAAAAAAGAAAAGAAAAGAAAAAAAAGAAGAAGAAGAAGAAAAAGGATGTGACCTCATGTGACTGCTCCTTCCTAGAGTCCATTCAGAATTTCTCTATCTCAGCAGCTTGGTCTTAAACGTGGAGTGCATCCAAGCTAGTACCTTCTTACAGGAATAGTTGCAGGGTATAAAACACTGTCAGAAAGTTAATTCTGCTGTCTAGCCTATTTCCTTTCATCTCCTTGTTCTCTTTCTCCAGGTTTTATACATCTCCTTGGTCTCCAGTATTCCTTTCCTTTGGACAGTTCCTTTACCTTTGTGACTTTTGCAGGTGGTGTTTTTTTTTCTCCATAATAGCAGCTGTCTGGAGCACAGCCCTCCAGTATTTTGGTTTGGTATCTTTTAAGTAATATGTACTCCACATGCTGCTTTTGAGGAGTAACAGTGGAGGTGCTGGAAAGGGAGCTGTGATCCTGTGGCTCTGTGACATGCTGCTTTTACAACTGTAGGTGTATTGTCACATCTCCTCTTTTCTTACTTTGTAAAAAGGAAAATGTCTGCAGTGCTGCAGCTTGTTTTTACGAGATGATTCATCAAATAACCGTGGTTCTCTTTGAGCCCTTAATTTGTAATGCCTCCGTTGCTTCTGGCACTCTGCTGCCTCTGACATTATTCCTAAGTTATTACTGAACATCACACACATTAAATACTTCGTGTCTGTGTCATACATGCTGTTCTCTAAGAAGACATCTATTACATCTGAAGAAAACGCATGTGTACACAACTGCACTTTCTCACAGAGACACAAAATAGAGCCAACTCGATTAGCTAAACTCTCCCACCTTATTGTAGGGGTGTATGATAAAAATTTAGTGATGTGGAATTAATCTTAAAGCTTGGATAGTTCTCTCTGAGGACAGACTATCTTAATGACAAGGCAATTGGATGCAATGATTTATAGCTAGGGATGGTGAATTGCTGATTTTTACCTGAGTGTCTGGTAAGCAGATGTCCCTACCATGAAAGCTGCTGCATTCTCCTCTGAAGAGTACACTGATCTGTGTTATGTTCCCTGTTTTTCTTTGGATGAAAGATCTTCTTTTTATCTGACCTCAAATCACTTTGCTTCTCTGCACCTGTTTCATGTGTTTATATTATGTTTCTATATTATGTGTTCTGATTATTTTATGTGCTGGGACCATTTCTTGAAATATGTAGGAATGGCCTCAGTGCAGTATGCCCACATCTTTCCTAGAGCATATAGAAGCTACTACACTTTTAATAGTAACTTTTATTAAGAGATAATCTTTATCTTTCTCTATCTCAATTTTCCTGTTTATAAAATGGAAGTTAGAAACTTTTGGTTTTAAACCATAGAATGATCTATTTTTGAAACAAACTTCTAGAAATTTCTAGTCCAAACTCTGCTGAAAAGTAGGCTTTCTGCAGGGTCATGTATGGCTGTGTTTTGAATGCCTTCAGGATGGTGATTCCAAATTCATTCTGAGATCTCTTCCCATGTTTGATAACCCTTATGGTGAAAAATGTTCCTTTTTGTGAAGCTGGATTTTCACTTGCTGCAAGCTGTGATCAGTGTCTCTTGTCACTGCAAATGCAGACTGCTAACTTCTGTTAGAATTGATGTTTGCCATATCCCCAGGACCTTTTCTGTGGTGTTGCTCCTTAGCCAACTGGTGTCCAACCTGTACTTTTGTGTGAGGTTATTCTGCCCCAAGTGTAGGGCTTTATATTTATTGTTGTTGATTTACATAAAACATTTATATCAGTCCTTCGCTCCACCTTGTAAAGGTGTATCTGTATAGTAGCCTTGTGCTTCCTCCAATGCATCAACCAGTCAACCATTCTCCCCAATTTGGTATCATCTACAAACTTGACCATGGTCTATTTAGTTCCATCATCCAGGTCCAGCTTTGGATGTACTGATGAAGTGTTCTCTGAAAGAGCTATGTAGTTTAATATACTTCTACTTTTCAGTCCTGATACCATCAAACTCCTGAATGTTTTTAGTAAGTCTTTGCTTTGCCAGATGAATGCCAATGAATAATGCTCAGTTTTTACATGCTACTATTTAGCCATTGAATTGTTATGCTTGTGACCTTTTAATGCATGTTGGAATACAGACATATGATGATCAGTCACTGCATGGAAGTCCTTATGGCCTTTGGTTTAGGAGGAGAGGTTTCTCTGTTAGGAGGGCATTTGGGTAGGGAGGAATCTTCTCTCTACTGCACTGAACCTTAAACCTCATTCAGTTATTGGAAAAACATGAACTAGACTAAGACTGTAAATGAAAGTGTTGAAGTCTTCTTATCCTCCTCATCCAGGTACTATATCTGTGAACAGCAGACGCACCCCATTCACCGCCAGTGGGGAGAGCGAGATCCTGGATCTGGAAGGTGACATGTACCTTGGTGGGCTGCCTGAGAACCGGGCAGGACTCATCCTTCCCACAGAGCTCTGGACAGCAATGCTCAACTATGGCTACGTTGGCTGTATCCGAGACTTGTTCATTGATGGACGAAGCAAGAACATCCGGCAGCTGGCAGAGGCACAGAATGCAGCAGGAGTCAAGTCTTCCTGCTCCCGCCTAAGCACCAAGCAGTGTGACAGCTACCCCTGCAAGAATAATGCAGTCTGCAAGGATGGCTGGAACCGCTTCATTTGTGACTGCACTGGCACCGGCTACTGGGGTAGAACATGTGAACGAGGTAAGCTGAGTTTTCTGACCTCAGTTGTGCAGACCTGCAGGTGTGCAGCTAGAACAAAATTCATCGTTTCCATGAGACTTTCCCCTGCTCTTGTTGGTCTTCCCAATACTAAGTTCCAGTTCCCACACTAGTAAAGTTTTCTTCTCTGATAATTTGCTTCCAGTCTTTACCACCTTCATTTCATGAGTTTACTTTCTTCATCTCTCATTTCACTTCCTAAGCCTTCTGAAGACCTTGTAGTGAGGTTCCAGAGTTTCTTTGGCTAAATATTGCATCTTTCCTGAAGCAGAAAATGCTACTGCATAGAGAAGTCTCAGAAAAATTACTGGAAACAGTACCAAGTGTGAACTTGAGCTATGGAGATTTTTTTTGTGTGTAATACAGATAATGTATCCCAGTTCTGTCAAGCCTTACCTTTTTTGCATGGTAGGATTTCCTTGATGGCTGTTTATGGGTAAAATCGGCTACTTAGATAGTGTTAAAAGGAACATGTTTCCAAATTGACCTATGATAAGGCAAATCTGTGGGAGATGGTGAGAAATTCTCTGCATCTTATTCTTATTCATTCTGATTGGTGGTCTAAAGATGTAGAACTGGAGATATGAGGCACAAGTATATGTTCTAGATCACATGAAAAGTGCTTTACTAATGTAAGATATCTGAGCTATATGTTTCTCAAATACCAGCGGGTTCCATTAATTGCTGTTATCCTTATTGTGCTGGTGCCATTTGCAGAATGAAGAAGGTGAGTGGTTTTAAAAAAACAGATGGAGCTAGGATCACTTAGAAAATACTCCCTAAAGGATGTTTTTTATATTTAAACCAATCTTTCTGTTAATTTGGCTATTAGCACTGCATTCTGACTGAACTGCACTGATAGAACACCCAAGAATTTGATGTACACCATTAGCAGAGTCTTAGGGCTTTCAATGCCTTCTTTCTAATAGCTTACTTGGCACCATGGCCTAATGGTGATAGCATGTGTTTTACAACTGGAGATCTGGATATTTTCGAGTTTCTGCCATAAATATTTGAGAAGCTCCTTTCTTACTCAGTGTTCCCCCTGTGCAATTTTTATTATTGATCATACTACTATGCTACCTATGAAAAAGAATGTGAATGTTAGGTATGGTGCATAAAATACTAGGGAGAATTGAGATTCGTAATTCACTCAGTCTCCAGAGGATTTTCTTCTTTGCAGGAAATTTGTGTTAATGACCAAATTCTTCCTATATACTGGATGAGGTTCTCAAGTTTTACAGCACAAGATCTATGATCATTCATAAAGCTTCTCACAGCCAGCCATTTGTTGCAGGCTACCCTTAGCAGCAATAGTAGTTAATTGCCAGTGGTCCTTAAAACAGCTGAAGCATCAACACTACCATCCGTGCTGTGAAGACACAGGTGAAAATGTAAGATTCATGAATTGGAAATGCCAATGTGTCTCTTATAGACTACAATGGATTAGAAGATCCTGGAGAACATCGGAGGGTTTCTCAGCTACAGCCTTAGGAATTGTTTTGGCCAATTCTTGTGTGATTAGGTTCTAGACAGACATAATAAAAAGAAGCACCACCATGCATTGTGCTCCCTCCCAAAATTGCACTGATATTTGCCCTTGGTCTTTTAGTATTAAGAGTTACTACCTCTGTGCTTCAGGATTTTCTGGACCTGGTGCTCAGACAAGAATCCAAAGACAACCCATGACATAAAGAACAGGTTTAATCTCATATACCATAGAAACACCTTTGGTATTGCCTTTTCCTCCTTCTCTTATCAGTGAAAAGAAATCAGTATGCTAAGGGCATGTGAGCATTGGAATTTAGGAGAAATTAATCACACATCTGGCCTGAGATCCATAACTTGGCCATGCTCTGGCCAGTATCAGTATGAATAAGAAAGACATGTATGGGTGCTTGTCTACCAGCATGGGAGCTTGAGGTCCTAATAAATAGGTGTTAGAATCAAAACATATTTAAGGTTAACAAAACAATTATGTTGTAGTTTAAGAAAACACAAAAGATGTATACAGAGCTCCTAAATCTGAGAAACTACTTTTTTCTGTAACTAGAAACCACCTTACTCGTTTAGGCCCAGTGTCAGGCAAAGTATGACTTTCATGAGGTTCCTTGGTAACATGACAAGCAGCTCACAGGGAGTATATATTTGTAGACTAGATATACGAAAAAAATTGTGCAGATTGATGTTCATTTGGTTCCACAACATTTATTGTGGTGTTACATAGCAGCCTTATACTGCTCTGATACAACCCCTGGATATCAGATGGCTGCATTAGTGCCCAGTGATTTTGGCTCCATGAACGAAAGTACTGCAGGCTACCAATGATATTTTTCATTCCCATGGTCTGACACCCAAGGATTATTGCAAGTCCTGACTTCAGCCAGCCTGTGATCCAAATACTGTTGGAAGGAGAAAAGTTGACATGGAGGCTGGAAAGGGAATCAAAGTGAGAGATGCTGCCATGCCACAGTGGCACTTGTGCATGGTGACTAAAGAGCTGCCACAGGACTAGGGAGAGCCAGGCTGGTGCATATGGAGAGGAATAGAAAAGGAGCAGTCTGGCTCTTGGAGTAAGAGACAGATACTGACTCACTTTTCCAGTCTGCCATCTGGGAAGAGCTGTCTCACACTACTCCATTCTTAGACTTCTGTCCTATTAAAAGAGAGGAGTGTAAGTCTTGGAAGGAGTTTGCAGCCCAAGATGAAACGTTAAAGGGAAGGGAAGCCTATGGTACAGAATCTTTTATGCCTGTTGGCTACCAGGAAAATCACTCTATCCGAAAGCAAAGCACATACTTAACATTTATTCAAGATGCTAAAAATACAAAACCCCCATATATACAACCCCAGGGAGATAAGTGGATGATTCATTTGTTGATGATGGTAAAGTCTATCTCCTGCTTTCCAGGTAAAGTGTTTCTACATTTATAAGGCTGTATTTCTCATAAATGTTTTTTTCCTTGCCATATGAAGGACTGTTACATATCTAAAGGGGCTTGAAAAGGAAATTGACTGAATAAAGAACTGTTGCCAAGGTCTCCAGTTGATTTTCAAAATCCCTGTATCTAATTGGTTGTTCAGTATTGTGACTGATGTAAGCAGATAAAGGTGTTTTCAGTCTTAAAGTGACATAGCTTCTAAGGGTAATGTCCTCAGGGTGATTAAAATTGCATAGAAGAGGTGGGATGAAACATGTCAAAGGCCAGTTCATGTCTGATATGACTCCCACTCAAGCCGGGGTATGGCAGGGAGTCAGAAGTTCTGGTAGAGTTCTGGTTCATTCTGTAGCTGCATGTTTTCTCTGTACTAACTAGGAAAGAATGTTAATGGGAGACAAATCATGAAGGCTTCTGTCAGGTATACTCACTGTCAAGTCCTTGCCACAGAAACTGGAGTGGATGAACATCGATGTTTGATCCTTAGAAAGGAGAGAGACAAAATATTTCACCTAAACAAGACTCTGCTCTTTCTTCATTGATTTCATTTGATCTGCTTGTGAGACTGTGTTTCTCTCCAGCTTGGTAGCCAATGGCAGGTGACAAGGGAGTGGAGATGAAAGTGCAATAGTTTTCATGGACCAGAAGTCCTCAATGCCAGGCTGTGAGGCTAAGCAAAGGCAGCCCCAAATGCTGGCAATGAGTTAGGTGTGGTTCCCACTTCACACCTTCCACCAGAGGCTATGCTGACAAGATAACACACCTGTTACTTGTTTATTTTCTTAAATCCTGAGCTTCCCATTCTCTATCATCTTTCCATAATGGTTTTCTGCTGCTTAGTCTAACTCAGTGAGACAATATTGGAAATTGTATGTGAGAAGAGCCTTTTTGCACTACTGTTAAAATTAAAGAGCTGCTATAAACGTTGCAAGATTTGGATGAGTTTCTAAATTCCCCCATAGCTGTTGGAAGGGAGAGGTGGTGTGGCTGTCCACCAGGCTAAGAAATAAGACACTGCTGGTTTTGCATATGGCATGAATGTAATTAAAGTAGTATTGTGATCTCCTACTTTAGATCACTCAGATAAGTACTCTAATGTTAAAAAAGTAGAGGCCTGGCAAAAAGAACGTGTGCTAAATGTCTAAGTCCCCTGTGCAGTCAGTGGAGAGAGGTAGTTGCTCTTCAGGAGAAATTCAAAGCAATAACATGATCTGCTTGCCTTCTTTTGTTGATTTGCCTGTCTCCTTTTATTGATTATGTGGAGATTCTAGTCTGATAATTCAGTATTGCTGCACTCCAGAAGGTAACTGCCTGTGCTGTGGAGGAACTGACAGTGCCAAACTGCCAAGGCTACCAGCCTGACAGAAAAGAGGATGTCTTGTTTAAGGTGAGGGCATAAAGCAAAGAAAATAGAAAAGAAGCTAATAGACAGGACACAATCCCTCCTGCAAGTGATGCTCTTGGAGCCTTGTAATGTGGTCATGATCTCACCTCCCCCTTCTTCCTGAGCTCTCCTGCATCACTGTTACATCTAATTAGAGTATGTATGGTGGAGAGCAAGATTTAATCATGCCTGAAAGACTCCCAAACTGAAAGGCAGTTTTTGGGTGTCTCTGAAATTAATGGCAGACACAGCTAGGTAATGGCGTGTCAGGCATTAGGGAAAAAAAACCTTGGAGCTTGTACTCTTTGAAATATTTAGTCATTTGTGGATCCTAGGGTTTTAGAAAGAAAACAAGTATCAGAGAGCAGTGTCTGCAGTTCAGCCTCTCTGTTCCTGTCTATACCATGTTCCAACAAGTCTGCCATTTTGCTAGTTCTGTTGAAATAAAGGACATAACATATCTGCAAGCCCATGGGAATGCTTCCCCCATGGTTTCTAGTCACCAGACATAGGGCAGGCTTTGGGAGCTTGGATGAAAAGGATCCTGCTACACAACGGGCAGCACACTTCCTCCTGTTGCATGTGAAATTCCTTCTGTTATTGAACTGAGTAGAAATTAGGGTGAGTTGCAAGTCTTGGCAGCAAGAAGGCCTGGAGAG